TTATGCTATAAAGTAGATGCTGGAGTCTAAGTAAACTCTATAAGGGCATAGTGGTTTAATAGTCAGCTCTGATCGCAAGTGTTGGTTCTGCTATAGCAATACCTAGGTCAGCTGTAAAAATGAGTACAGAAGGCTCTAAAAAGTTTATCTTAAGAATAAATTAGTTCTAAGGTTGAGATGATAATCTGGGCATCTGAGTATGATCTAGTAAGTTAACAGAGATTACAAATTCAGAGAGTTTAAAGTAGAACACCCAAGCAGGAGTGTTAGATATGGCAATTGGTAAGGAACCTTCAGGCAGACTCCTTAAATAGGTACTATGGAAAAGTTATATATGTAGCCAATTGTACTCTCTCTTGTAGTGGTTCATTTAACCACAATACTGATAAGTGATTAATAAAAAGTCAAAAGACCAAAGAGGTCATCTTAATATTAAAAAAAAAAAAAAAAATTAGGCACCAAAAGTACATATATAGCTAGTTGTAATCTTCAGTATAAGGTAGTTCCTGATAGCATATTGTGTTCTATATACTTAAATAAAAATGTCACATCTCAAAAATAAAGATTTTAACAAAAAAAAAATTTAGTTTTTAAAACAGTACAGATTAGTGCAAAGTAGTCTAACAACTTATATAAAAGATGCATTGTTTGCAGTATATAGCAAAAGCCAGTTAGATTTTATAAATACAAATATGCTACTCTAGAAAGTTGCAATATAGAAAGCTTTTACAAAAACATGACTTTGTTATAAGAAGTTTTTCAGTCAAATTAATTTACTTAATACAAGTTCTAAAACTTATATGCAAAAAAAATTATCTAAGATATAGCCATCAGACTTTCTAACTAATAATAAAGTAGTATATACTATAAGTATATACCAAATTATGTTAAGTTTGTATTATAAACATTTAACTATGTCTGAAAAAATAGTTAAAAATCAGCTAAAAAAAACTTAATAAGATATTTCTATAAAATTTAATATACTTTAAGTTATTTCGAAATACAGAAATTCTATTTTGACCCAGGTTACGATAACTTGTTATATGCTCACTGAGGCTAGTATAGCTTATATGATAGTATAATTTATATACGATATATATTATATATGTACGTTAAAGTAGAATTGACTGAAACAAACATTAAAGACAATAATATAGATCGAATATAAAGCATAAATTCTTTCATAAAAGTGTTTAAAATTCATAACAAAGAACAAACAAATTTGCAAAGTACTAATCTTAACACATTACAATTATCTTAGTAGTAGATTTTGATAATAAATACTGTATTTATCTATATTTATCTTTTTAGCATAAAAATATATAGATTAGTTTTGTTTTTCTTCTAACTAAATTGTAAAAGCAATTTTAATACATACGAATTATTATTTCTTGAGCAGCTTCTTGAATTATGACCAACACCATTACAGATACTGCATATATATGCTTTCTTGGTAACTTGCTTAGCACCTGTTCTTTTACATTTAGTATTATTTGGTCGTCCTTTTGTTTTTATAGTATTAGGATCTTCAATATTAGCTTGTAATAATGGATATTTATCATTTAACTGATTTATAAAAAGTACCAGGTCACTTTTTATTTCAATATGACCTACACGATTACAAATTGCTTCGACATCTTTTAATAAATCAAGAGTGCTTTTAGTTAATATTTGTTGATTGATAGATGTTTCACAAGCATTTGATATTTGCTAATTATTAGATACTTCATGAATATTTAATATTCACTAATTGTTGGATATTTCATGAACATTATAGCTAGTACTAGTAATAATTGATGCTTCAATCTGAATGTTACTATTTGTAATACTTTTAAGTTCTAAATTATGTGTGTCTACTATCCAACGTTTACCAATATAATCAATATTGATTTCTTTTTGGTTAGCAACATGAATAGCAATAACATGCCAACATGGCAAAAAAAATTGTGTGTTGTAATTACAGAAACAAATTAATATATCATTTTGATATACTTAATATTTATTATCTTGCTTATCTTTATGATAAATTTTAAATAGATTTTCTGTTTCGTTATATTATAAGTTGCTGCTAAGTTATATTGTTCTAATAGTAATATGTATACAAAATCAGATACAATAGTCGAAACCTTTTTTAATAATATAGGACATTGTTGCCAAGTAGTTCCACATAGATGATATTGCTGATACTGGGAATGTTGAATCTGTTGGCATAACAATTTTTCTAATATATTGATTAGTTTTGGTAAAGGAACTGTATAACCAAGTAAATGCTTTAAATGCGCATTACTTGCCTCTGAATATTGTGTTGTCTGGATTCCATAATTAATATTTTTATCTGTATGACAATGTGCCCACATGTGTGAAAAAGGTTTTCACTGTTCATTCATATAAATTTCTGCTTCTGAATATTTTGCCAACAAATGATGCCAGTAAATATCAAACTTTTCTTCATTATTTTTAGTCATTAGTACCTTTAAATCCTTACTAAAAGTTATAAATTTATTTCCAAGCTTACGAGTTAAGTTTTTAATAGCATTTTGTTCCATATGCCATGTACAGATCTGATGCTTAATATATAGTAGTTCACTTCAAATTGAGGAGAGTAAAGCAAGGTCCTTATCAGTTAAAACTGTTTGTACATTGTCAATTATATTAGAAGTTACTTGTTTTAGTTGTTGTAGTATCCAATGGAAACTTGAAATAGTTTCATTAGATAAAAGCCTACTTGCAATTAAGAATGTTATACTCATTGCATCAATGCCACTAATAAGCAGAAGTGGCATTTCAAAACGATTAGTTTTGTATATAGTATTCATTTGTATAACTTCTAGATAATGTTTAAACAGCATTAATGAAGAAGTTGTAGTAAAAAATAAACTACAAAGCTTGTTATCTTTAATGGAATAGGTAACTATATATTCATTTTTATTTTGTAAATTATTTAATAATTCAGCAATTTGAGATAGACCCTTGATGTGATCACGAGCCTGACCATTTAAAGTATTATATATGTTTTTGTTGTGAATGTATTTATCATATTCTTCAGTTAACATATTAATTATTGTTGAAACTGGAACACCACTACTATGAAGTATTTGTATCTGGATTTTTTATTATTACTTAATTTCTGATATTCTGGATCAAAGATGACCACTGTAGAATCTATAGGATGATTGTGCTCAAGATGAGCAGACCTTATATGATATTGATATTCAAATTTTGCCCAACAAATTACTATTTTAAATGGACAACCTATTGCAATACTTTTTGTTTCCCGTAATCCATTACTTTTATTACTTGCAATACCACTACAATAACAAATTACTTCTGCTCTAGTAATTAAACCTAAATATCTTTCTGTACATCCAAGTCTTGTAGCAAATCCTTGCTTCATTGCATAGGTGTTAATATATCGTTCAACATCACTCCACTCAGTAAAAGTGTGATCTACAAAGATTGATGCTATAGTATCGATTAGATTATTATTTAATTCTATTGAATTATGATTTAATTTTGTTGAATTATTATTCAACTCTGTTAAATTATTATTTAATAAAGATTCTTCAACTACAATAACACTATCGGATGAAGATATTTCTTGATTTATAAGCAAGTTCAGCTGATTTGTGTCAAAATCTTAATTTGTTAATAAGTCTAACTGATTAGTATTTAAATCTTCATCTAGCAAAGAACGACACCAAATAAAGAATTCACCAATACTGAGTTGAGACAGATTATTATAATTTTCAAATGGATCTAAGATCTCAAGAAGATAAGGTCTAATACAGCTTGTTAAAGTAAGCATGCAGTAAGAAGGTGATATAGTAATACTATAAAATTGATTGCATTCTTTATAGAGAATAGCAGTGCCTATGATAGTTCTATCTAATGAAAGTAATTTTACAGAACTCATCTTGATAAATAAAATGAATAAAAATTCAATTGATATAAAATAAAGAGGTCAAAGTAGAGAAAATGTTCAATTGAAAGACTATGTCTATTAATATTAATCATTATTAACATTCGATTTTATTAGTTGTGCTTTGTGATTTACTATTGATTTACTATGCCAATCATTTACAATTACTTAAAGCATATCTATATATAAACTTTTAAAAAACTTGCATTTTAGGTTCGCTTAATATTATTCCCTTTATCATTGGTTTTGTTATTTTATCTTATTCGTATATACGTACATACATGAATGCATAAATTTGATGTGTGATAATATCGTATAAGCTATACTAGCCTCAATGAGCACATGACAGGTTATCATAATCTGGGTCAAAATAGATTTTCCTTTCAAAATATTGTAAAATATTGTGCAAATTTTTGAAAATTCTTAATGACTGTTAAATTAATTTAATAATTTATAATAATTTAAATAATTTCTTTAAATAATTACAAATATTATAAAAGAATAATTATAGAATAATCAAGGTTTTGTACTATTTACTATTAATAATACAACCTTAAGTAAAGATAAAAAAGAAGTAGTTAGCAAAGTAAGTATTAATTATTTTATTTTATAATTAGAATAACTTGTATTAATTTGATTACAGTTAGCAAGTAAAAAAAAAATATAAACTTTTCTACAAACTTCTAAAAAAATAAAAATAATATTAAATACTAATATAATTATTTTAATTTTTATTCTTATAAAACTTTATTTTATTTTATTTTTTTAACTTTAACAGTTATGCTAGTACTTTATTAGAATTCTTAAAACTATACAAATTATATAGAACTTTTCTAATATATAAGTCTAGCATTACTTGGTCATCCAAATAGTACCTAAGTACAACTTATTGCATTATTTTAGTTAGAGATAGACTGCTCATCTGACTGCTGCTCTAATAAGATATTACTAATTTAATAAAATCTTTTTGTAAACAAGCAAAAAACAAAAAAAAAATTATAAAAAAAACAAAACAAAGATATAGAGGTAAATAATAAAAAATACAAATCAAGAAATAAAAGAAAAAAGTGAATAATAAGGAAAAAGCAAATATATAAAACTTGCAATTTACAAATATCAGATAATCACAATTGTATGCTTGTGTTGGGTTTTTAAAAATTATAAACTATACTAAATAGAAATAACTCTACTATTTTTCTATTTATTTAGATTATTTAACAAAAAATCTTTAAATTGATTATAAAGAGTTAGTATAGAGCACTAGTTAGTCTAAAGGCAGTATTTTTAGATTTTTAGTATTTCAAAACATATATATAGTTATATTTATATTACTGTATTATATTTAATCTATATTATTAAAAACCTGATTGAAAAGTAAATACTGCAAACTATTTTGATAGTTTTACATATCGATCTTTAGAAGAGAGTAAGCTAAATCATTTACTTTTTACAAAATTTTCTTGAAGCAAAGCAAAGGTAAGAGATGAACCAACTTTGTAGCTTTTGTGAGTTCTTGATCTTTATAAGTATTTCTTATAGGTTTTACAGTTATATAGAACTAATATATCTAACTTTGTTATTTACTTAATAAAAAAACTTTAGTTTTTATCAATTACTTCTTTTATAGTCTTAAAGTGCATTTAAACTATCATTACAAAGCTGCAACTTCTTTATTAACTCTATTTCAATATTTAGCTATGCATGTATAGTATTCTAAAAAAGTTTTTCTAAAATTTAATATATTGTTATAAAATAAATTATTATTATTTAATCATTATTATTATTACTATTATTTAGTATTAGTTATTTTATTATTGTATTATTATTAGTAGTTGTTAGAACTTTCTGATTAATTGGTAATTGCTTAGTTGCTTAGTTATTAAGTTGCTTAGTCACTTAGTTGCTTAGTCACCTAGTTACTTAGTCACTTAGTAATTAGTTGCTTAGTTATTTAGTAATTAGTTGCTTAGTAATTATTAGTTATTAGTTGCTAGAACTATCCAGTTGCTTAGTAATCAATTAGCTACTTAGTCACTTAATCACTTAGTCACTTAATGCTTAGTTACTTAGTTGCTTAGTTACTTAGTCACTTGGCTACTTAGCTACTTAGCTTACAGATATATAAACCTTGCTAAATTCTCCAAGTGTAATTAAGCAACAACCACCTCTTTTTCTTTTAATATTGTAAACACATCTTGAAATTCTTTAGAAACAGAAATCTAAAAATAGCTCTTTTTGTTATTACTTTAATAAACAGCTTTTGACTATAAACTGTATTAATACTTTTCTTCTAAAGTAATTTCTACAGGCAAGGTTTATTTCTTCTTAGTAAAATAAAGTAAAGTTATTAGTATTGCATTACCTTTCCTAAGCTGCCTTAGAAAAGAATATAGTTTCTTGACAACATCTAACAAAAGTTATACTTTACTTTTAGACATTATATATACTTGTAAAAGATTTTTTGTGCCATGTTGTTGTTATAGTATGAAAATTAAAAAAGCTTTCACTTATAATATTTGGTACCTTCTAGCAAAAAGGTTAAATTTTTTAAAAAAACAAGTCATTCTGAACAAGACATTTTCAGATGTATTAGAAAAGTTATCTTAACAAAAAGCCTAGACAAGTATTAGTTATCTTGACAAGAGATCCAGATAAGTATTAGTTATTTTAACAAGAAACTTGAACAAGTATTGGTTATTCTGGCAAGAAATCTAAATGAGTATTAGTTATTTTGGCAGAGTCTTAGATATATATACATCTAGAGTTCTGCATAGGCTAGACTATCTATGAAGTATCTATGAATTAATCTTGCATGGGCCAGACTTGGATACTAAAATAGATTTTGTGTTAGATCTGAGCACAAAGATTCAAATTTATGTAAAATTAGGCTAAGATCAAAATACTCAAGTCCAGATTTCAAAGCCTATAGATAGTCTATATTTTGGCTAAAATTATACTAATATATCAAAATTGTGAATTTAAATCTAATAAAAATCTTTTAAACCTTTTTTAAACTTTATTAATTGTTTAACAAAATTATTATTATTAGCTAAAAAAACATAAGTTTTTATTAGTAAAAGTGCAAATAGTTTTTACCACTTTGAACTTTTAATTTAAATTTTCTTTTTTATAGAAATACAAGCTATATTTTTCATCATGATATTAGTATTTGACTCTTGGATAACAACTCAATAATAGACAAGCAATAATAATATGAACATTAATAATTATAAAAAATTTTAGCTTAAAACTATGAAATATAAAAATATAATTAAATTAATTTTTTAAATAAATTTAGTATATAATATTAAAATACTTAGAGTGCATATTTACTAAAAATTTATGTATTTAAGATTTATCTACTAAAGACTTACCAAAAATTTATATACTTAAGATTTACCTACCAAAGACTTATCAAAAACTTAAATACCAAAAAATTTGTATACTAAAAACTTACATTATCATACTTGTATCTGTATCTAAATAATTTTAAAATAATAGATTTATAATCAATTTCTAAATCTATTCAAGATGATCAAAAACTTTTTAGCTATTTCAGCTACAAGTGTATTATTTGAATAAATTTTTAGTTTAGCTGGTAGAATTATTGATGATTGTCATGTTAATTTAAATTCAAATATAGTTAAAGCATTAATATGTTAATAGAATTGGTTATCTAAGTAGAATATATAATTTTTTTTTATATATACTATAAAATTTAATAAATATGCTTATAAAATATAAATTACTTTCTAATAATATATAAATTTTTTAGAATATATAAATTGCTTGTAATATATAAATTGCTTAAAGACAAATTAGTTCCAAACTTTAGTTTATATTGTTATAAGTGAAAGCCTTCTTAATTTTCACACTATAACGACAACATGGTACAGGGAATCTCTTACGGGTATATGTGGTGTTCAAGAGAGAAGTATAGCTTCTGTTAGATGTTGTCAAGAAACTATACCCTTCTCTGAGGCAGTTCGAGAAAGGTAATGCAATCCTAATAATTTTACTTTATTTTACTAAGAGGAAATAAACCTTGTCTGTAAGAATTACCCTAAAGGGGGAATATCAATACAGTTTATAGTCAAAAGCTGTTTATTAAAGTAATAACAAGAAGGGCTATCCTTAGGTTTCTGTT